ACCTTCTAAATGAAACACGTAGAAGGCTATGATATATATATATATATATAATATATGTAGCCATATACGCATCGTCTTTGCTTTTGGAACCTGAATGGCGCACTCGTGTAGTCCTATAGTTGGGTGCTAGGTTGTCTTGATTTTCAATTCAGGTAGCTGTGCACATAAAATAAACGCTATGATTCCATCTGTCTGTGTGACGGGGCGTGCAGCGTGTCAATCTATTATTGTTTCGTCACGTCACATATATTGTATATTAGTTGTGTCATTGTGTGTTGAGACGTTTTCTTTGTTTGCCCACCCGTTGAGTACCGACTCTGGCCTATCCACTGCTGCTTTGGAAATACGTGCGTGGGTATAGTATTTCTGTTGACTTACGGTCGTATCAGGCTTCTACGTTCCGTGCCGATCGAAGTATTCGCAGGGCATATCATTCGTATCGTTTTACGTATCCGGACACACTTCAGAGTGATATGATTGAACAAGTTTTTTTTCTGTGGTGAGTTTGCACAATTCTCTCGCGGAATCTATATCACATGGATGTAATCGTAACGTGGGGTATAGCAGACCTCTATATATACTGAACGCGATTGTTTGGAAATCGAAGACACGTTCGTGCGCGCGATTGTTTGTGCACACCTGCAGTTTCATCGCCTACTTACAAAACGGGCCAACGATTGTTGTATGTGATGATCTCGTGGGAATATGAATGCCTTTGCCCTAGGATTGATTCTACCCTTGTGAATCCGTATCGTTCTCACTTCCGAATATTAAATTTTGCCTGACAATCGTCTCACACCAATATAAAATTATATATATATATATATATATTGCGTTCTTTTTGATGGAAGAAATACACTTCGTGATCTACAATGGTATGCAGTGACATCATATACACCATGTCTTATATTGTGTTCTTCAAGTACTACTGACTATTTAGCCGGATGCTCACAGACTTCTAATACATGTACCTATCCTTTTTCACTAATATATAGATCCGACTACGATGCGGGCGATTTCTCTGACGCCGAGGAAGAAGAAAAGGAAGCTCTGCGCATGCAGCGTGAACAGGCTGAGTTACTAGACGAGGATGACTATCTGGGCGATACTATGCTCGAGACCCTGGCCAAATCCGATGTCAAGAAGCGCACCGACAAGGAGGTAGAGGCGAGTGATAATATGAGCATAGTAACCAAGGTACAGAGCGAGCTGAATGAGATCGATCTAGAGTCGCTGCACACGATTGTGCGGGATACATCGAGCCTGACGCGAGAGGAGAAGCTGGGTATGTATTTTGGGGTATATGCGAACAGCACGTTTTGATAGTGCTAGTCGATGCGATTTACATTCCTATCAGGTGTATGCACACGTGCGTGGTTGATGGATTGAGTACTTCGTTATGTATTGTGTGTTGTTGTTGTTGTCTGAGGATGTCTTTCTGCGGTGCATATGCTACGGGTGTGTTTTTCACAACGTGCGTGGTTTATTGGGGATTTTGTAATGTATTGATCGTCTGATAGCACCAGTTACTGTTGTGAGGCTAGCTGTATGTTTTTAAAGCAAGGGCCAAATGGGAAGGCCAACGGCCCGAAATTCGGGAGTTGGGGACAGGACTCCTACCAATATATCCTTGGGAGTGTGGGGCTGGTATGAAAGTAAATGTGATATGTGTAGACTATTTGGTGAGGGGGGGAGGGCTGTACATAGGAGTATTTTATATGGTGTTTACATTTATTTAGCCGTGTATGGTGTGCTTATAAGCCTAGCTTATCACCGTAGCAGATGCCTAGTCGTTCTTGTGATACCAACGTGACCGGTAGGCAACAAAGGTCTTGACTGTCCTTGTGCTATTGCATTATTGTAGGATTTTAGGGTTTAGCACCGTAACAGATGCCTAATCTTTCTTGTAATACTAACGTGACCTGACCGGTAGGCAACGAAGGTCTTGACTGTCCTTGTGCTATTGCAATATTCCATATGTGAAAAGAATCGGTGTGTTTGTGGTGTGTGCGGTATGTCTTGTTGATGTGTGGTGGTGGTGTTTTACAGTCACTCACTGGGCATCACATTAGTTTACTCTGTATGTGGTGGATGTTCTTCAGTCACTCTGTGCGTTAAATTGGTTCATGACGTGCACAGACCACGAGAGGAACGGCTTGGTATGTGTGTGTGACATGCGTGGTGCCCACGCGTGGAGTGTATAGGTGTGTGGTAGTCGCCAGTGCACACGTGTGGAGTGTATAGGCGTGTGCACACGTGTGTAGTGTATAGGCGTGTGATAGTCACCAGTGCACACGTGTGGAGTGTATAGGTGTGTGATAGTCACCAGTGCACACGTGTGGAGTGTGTAGGTGTGTGATAGTCACCAGTGCACACGTGTGTAGTGTATAGGTGTGTGATAGTCACCAATGCACACGTGTGTAGTGTATAGGTGTGTGATAGTCACCAGGGCACACTTGTGTAGTGTATAGGTGTGTGATAGTCACCAGTGCACACGTGTGTAGTGTATAGGTGTGTGGTAGTCGCCAGTGCACACGTGTGGAGTGTATAGGTGTGTGGTAGTCACCACCTGTGCTATGACAAGTCCTTCACATATACAGACTTGATCGATATCCCACCTCTCCCCATGTTGATTCAACAGAACTCACCCTCAACGCTCTATCGGAGCTCTCTGGCACTCACCCCCTATACCTCCAGGACACCATCCTCTATACTTAACTGTGAGTAGTTAGTGTTATCACGTGAACAACTCTTCTCCTCTCTCACCACGGAACGCCTTTGTACCATACCCCGTCCCCACACCCAATCACACAGAACTGATCCTCAACGATTCACCGGAGCTGCTAGAGCTGACTGAAGACCTGCAGGACGCCATCCTCGAGCTCAGAGGCCGCATCGCCCCTGTGCGCAACATGTACCTCGAGAACAGACACGCCGAAGGCTACACCACAGACCGCACGCCCCAGGCCATAGCTGCGGAAAAGTACCTAGACACACGCTTCCATCTACTGGTCAACTACTGCATGAACCTGTCCTTCTATCTGTACCTCAAGGCCAACCACGAGAACGTCAAGAATCACCCCGTGATTGCGCAGGTGGTGCGGCTGCGGGAGCTGAAGGAGAGGCTCGAGGTGGTGGATGAGAGCGTGCAGCAAGAGGTGGACTTTCTGGTGGCGTACCTACAACAGGAACAGGACGAGGGGGGGGCCGACAACGGGTCAGAGTCAGAGGTGGATGAGGCTACGAGTGTCCCTGTGGGTAGGCAGAGGGGTAGCGATAAGGGCGAGGATGAAGAGGAGAGTGAGGAGGAGTACGAGGATGGTGCGGAAGGGGGTGGTATGGCGAAGTTCGGTATTGAGCAGGATGGCGAGTCGGATATGGATGTGACTGTGGATAGTCGAGCGAGTGCGCCGTCGGCCAATAGGAAGGTTGGAGGCTTCGTTGCCATGCCAACCAAGGTGCTCGATGCAGATGTCCAACGGGCGTCCGAGAAGGCGATGTTGGGCGATACTAAAAAGGCAAAACGGGCGGGAAAACGAGCGCTTAAAGGTGATGACTATGGAGAGAGCGAGGCGTCTCAGCATGCGCGAGAGGAAGGGAAGACGTATAAGAGTGCTCTACACAAGCATCACGAGAAGAAGAAGCAGAAGGTACGTTGTGTATTGATGATCCTGTAGATGTGCGGATGCTTGTGATTATGCATATATAGTATATATATATACATATATATGTATATGTATATGTTTATGTATAAATATATATATATAATACATATGTATATATATATATAAATAATACATATGTATATATTTATAAATATATTCAGAAATTACGTACAATGCTTTTTTTAGTGAAAGCCCTTGATGAAAAGTCGCAGAAGTATGAATTCGTACTCCAGACGAGCACGATTGTGATATTTACTCCGTACAATACTTGTCATCGCATATATATTTTTAATTCTGTGAATATGAACTATTATCGGATTATATATATATGTGTGTGTGTTTATGTATGCGTGTGCGCACTTTCATTTTATTTACCAACTTGTCTAAATATGTATACCCCACACTTACCAGGGTCCCAAACAAACTGTGTACGGAGGCGGCGACGATGATGTACCGAACCGAAAGAAGGACAATCGTTTGGCGTTCGCCAGGGATGAGGACAGCGGTGCTAAGGGGTCTGAGGACAAGGACGTAGGCTTGGTCAAGGTAGGTTTACTTATATGTAGTATATTGTTTTTGTGTATATTATTGGTGTAAGGTAATATATTTATATATGCTTATACATTGTATACATATCAGCACGGTTTACCGATGTTGCAACTGGTATGTCGCAAAGGATCACAATTGTCACGCGTGTCGTAGTGATGACTTCATCAGTACGTGTACTATTGAATCGTATGCATGTTTATCTTTCGGTTATTATGGAATAAACTCATACCATGTCTTGGTTTTTTACATATACCAACAAAAGAGCTTAGATATTGCGTAGATAATTGCACTAGGGTATATATCTAAATATCTATATATATATATGTGTGTGTGTGTGTAATATATGTAATATATATATGTGTGTGTGAAATATATGTATATATATATATATATCTGCATGTATCTCTTTTCTATCTATCTATATATATAGTGTGTGGGCTCGTGCTTATGTGTGAGTGTGTATATAATACTTGTATGATTATATCCGTACTGATTTGTTGTCCTATGTAAACAATCCATATCCACTCCGCAGACAATACAACAGAACGCTGCGGACACGGTCATTGGCGGAGACGGAGTTGTAGGTAAAACTGTACTAGAGGTCGCTGGAGATGTGGACGCAGATCTGGACTACTATCAAGAACTGGTAGCCATGAAGAAGAAACGCAAGGATCAACGAGAGGAGATGCACACACGCGTAGCCGACTATCTGCCTGAGGACGAGGCGGAGGGCAAACGGGGTATCAACTGGCAGATACAGAAGAACAAGGGTCTGACACAGAAGAAACAGATCAGGAATCCCCGTGTGAAGCACAAGGTGGGTGTACATATATACATATATATAGATATATTATATCATATTATATATACAAATGTGTCTGTGCCTGATTAAGCGTCTTTTAATTTTTAATGAAAACCTTCTCGGGTTCAGTTGCACCTTACGATTATGCAGCAGATTGCACTTTTTGTTATATACACACGGGATATGTGGAGATGCTAGAAGCTCTCCACATTTCAATGTTTGTCTGTGATTTTGTACTGCAAGATTTTTTACTGTGATTGGCTTGTTATCTGTGCTTTCGTATTGTACACTTTAAGTATGTTTATGATATTTGTATACATAAACGTGTATTCATACGTGTATCATATTAGCAGAGCGTTCATATATACATACTCATATCAACGTACAGCAAAGAACTCAAATCTCTCTCGGAATTTTCGATCACAACAGTGCTACAAACTCGCACTAGGGGTGGTAGTTTAGTGGCGCTATTTACAGAGTGCAATCTGCTGCAAAAAACAATATCACTTGTGTACTGTATCAGTTATCAGAGGGCTATTTTCACTATCGGACTGACATTCAGTATCCTGTGTTTCTTCACCTAACAGATCAAGTACGACAAGGCTATGATCAAGCGGAAACACGTGGTCAAACAGTACAAGGTGGGCGAATCAGGGAAGACATACGGCGGAGAGCACACAGGTGTCAAGTCTGGCCTCAGTCGATCCGTCAAGCTCACACACAATTAAAACATTTTTTCTTTCGAGTTGATCATTTACGGCTTATTTTACTTGCTTGTACGGACGCAGATGAGTTTGTATACTAAATGTTTCATCAGAATCGTGTGGTCAAGCAGTGCAGTATACGGCTGAGGATACAGCGGTATCAGTCCGAATTTAGTGCAAAATACTTCATTGTATAAATTATTAAACAAGAAGGTATATTCAAACGAATGTTTTATATAAACATATTTATATATATATATATATATATATAATATATATATAAAATATTTATATGTATCGATCTATATGTCTGTCTGCCTGTCTATGTTTATCTATCCACACACACACACACACACATATATATATATATATGTATGTATGTATATATATATATGTGTATATATATACGTATATATATGTATAAATGTATAAATAGATATAGATATAGATATTTGGCTATATACATATATATATATATATATATATT